AAGAACCCCAGGTGGTCTAAATTTCCGGAGCCCTCCACTACGGCGTCTCTCATAATCATATAGTGGTTTTGGGACGTTAAACCCCACATATCAATCAATCAATAGTCCCTCGTATACAACCTAAAGACACAAAGTCTGCCAGTACGAGACCCTCGTTAATGAAATAAGGGAAGAAGTGTATACTTAAGGGCTCGTTTTTCGTGTTTTACACAATATTAATGAGGTCTAACAGACAATATATATATATATATATATATATATATATATATATATATATATATATATATATATATATATATATATATATATATATATATATATATATATATATCCAATTTTTATATTTGTTTTTTTTTGCGTCGCTATGAGTTACAGCCGCATGTATACAGTAGTCTTAGCACCAGTTACGTCTCCCCATAACCAAATTATCGCTTTTTAAAATGACTGTTTTCGTTGTCCTTTTATGCTATAAGCAATCTGAACGACAAAACTCAGCTTTTTGTTTTTGTTTTTTAAATTGTATACGCAAAATGTGCCCGCCAGCATGTACAGATTGCATCTGGACATGTACTTTTAAATTTGGTCGTTGATATTACACCGTCGTTGATAACTACGCCGTAGTTTATGCATGAATTGTAACCGTGTCGGTTCCGAGCCCGTGAGCTAAGCCATTATATTACACAATTCCTGAATCTTGTGCATTTTGCGCTGCTGCATCTGACAGCTGGAGTGAGCCAAGTGAAGGTGCGCCTGTTAAACTGCAATTTAACAATCACTTAAGTAACGACATGTCGTTATTGAAGTGATTAAATGCGCATTTGCAACTACATCGCTTTGTTTACAAAATGCCTGCAGCTGCAGGACAGAGATATGTTAACGGCTCTGTTGCGATGACCAGTGTTTAACAACCGGTGAGATGGCCAAGCTCTGTTGTTTGATCTCTCGAACCACCGTGAGTGGGCTTCCTCTTGAATACTCCTTATAATTACAAGTGACACGTGCGTTAAAAAATCAATACCTCAAACACGTATTTCTGCGCACCTATTTTTCTTTGCACATTTGTTAAAGAACAGCAACAGCAAGTCTCTTTCACTGAAGCCGGTACGTTGTATAATTTTTGGTGATGTTCAAGTGACCGTGAAGCCCATGAACGAAGGTTTATTATGTTCTTTAACGAAGCTTGACACACTCCTTGTCAGCAGCTTATACATCTGAGAAAACATGTGGAACTCGGTATGCTGGAATTGATATATATATATATATATATATATATATATATATATATATATATATATATATTATATATATATATATATATATATATATGTGCACTTACGTGACAACGCCGACAGAAGGTAAGAGAACAGGACGTTTCGTCTTTATTGCTCGTGTTGGCAAGCCTTTGTGAAACGACATGAAAATACAGTCATCCTTGATGGCACAGTGGTTATATAGGTGCTCGGCTTTTGATACGAAGATCGCGGATTCGATCCCGGCGGCAGCGGTCGCATATCGATGAAGATGAAATGCTATAGAGGCTCGTCGGAGGTCCTTTGCTTTATAATTTGCGTCTCGTAACTATATCACCATTTTCGAGATATTTAAACGATCCGAAGTATTACTAGAGCGTAAAAAAAATCGGAGATATTACTACGTCGTGAACATAGACGAACGTGCTGCATACAATTTATCATTCGGCGCATATACAGCACGCTTTCACAAATTTGAAATGTCATGCTCAATGTTCCTCATGCGCCCATGAAATTATAGCCACGCGCTCTTATCTCCCCTATAGTTTTACCATGCATCTTGCCTTGCCTTGCCAGCCTACCTTGTGTCAATATAATTCAACTGAAGCATTGCCATTGTGCATATGCCGTTGCGCATTGCTACGCAGAGAAGTGGTTGACTGAATACCTTCCTTCCAATGATTGCCGAAATCCGTACATGCGACGGACAATCTAACGGCAGCTCCGAAGGCGAATCGCGTGCTAATATCTATATCTGGAATGTTTGTCACGGAAGCACGGTCCGTTTTGATGTCACGCCCAGCACCGACCCGTCCCACTGTTCCTTTCGTTGTACTTGGACTGCGTCATTATCCAGATTTACGTAAGAACGCATTAATCAGCAGCCTCACCATCCAACAACTTGCTATCATGTGACACCACGTTGACGCAATGAGTTGCCGACTTTCCCTCCCGTGCAGGCAGCCTCGCATGCGGCCGGAGTAAGCCGCATTGAGACCGCACGCATTAATCAGCGTCATTGTCCGACATGCGTTTAGTCCAGCTTACGTTTCGTCATTACTGGAAGAACATGGGGACTCAGATATTTGCGTTGTGCTTTCGTTGGTGTCCATTGAGACGACTTGCTCTAATATATACCCATGAGCCTTTGAAATGTGATCTCCCCTTCCCTTATTTCTTACCGTATAGGATCATGCGATCTCCAATACAAGATAGACGTGATGTGGTATTTGTTAGACATGAATGCCTCGATAGTGAACGGGCTGCACGCTCTCGTTAGCCAGGTATTTTGGCATCGCGTAGGTGCGCTGGCGCAATCTTGTTCCGGATTACGCGTGGAATGCGAGAGTCCACCTCAAACGCCGTATTTCAAGTTACGTAGTCATACAATAAACGTCACCGACGCAGTGACATTTGACGCATGTAGTGCTCCATGACAGAGCACCAAGGGCTTGTGGCGGAACGGAAAGTTGCGGATCGTTAAAGAAAAAGCGGCGGCATTCTTTTGTAGCTAGTCTCAAACCGCGAGTATGCTAAGATCGCTTCTAATGCGTTTCAGCTATGAAAAAAAAACATCTTAATGTGTGTTAGTAACTTAGGGAGATTATGGTAACGACAATTTTATTGCCTTGAAATCTCAGCAACTTTTGTGGGTACTTTGGATTTATTTTGACCTTGTGTGTATCACACGATTTTCTGTACACATGAGCGTTTTCGTACTGTATACGACATCGTTAACTGAGCTTGGCATGTCAACCTCTACTGTATGGCCCCGCCGCGATGGTCTAGTGACTAAGGTACTCGGCTGCTGACCCGCAGGTCGCGGGATCGAATCCCGGCTGCGGCGGCTGCATTTCCGATGGAGGCGGAAACGTTGTAGGTCCGTGTGCTCAGATTTGGGTGCACGTTAAAGAACCCCAGGTGGTCGAAATTTCCGGAGCCCTTCACTAAGGCGTCTCTCATAATCACATGCTGGTTTTGGGACGTTAAACACCACATGTCAATCAATCAATCAATCAATCAATCAATCAATCAATCAATCGACCTCTACTTTATGTGCATTCCTTACCATCCACCCTCTTTTATCCGCTTGTGCTCAGATTTGGGTGCACGTTAAAGAACCCCAGGTGGTCGAAATTTCGGAAGTACTGGACCATGGCGTCTCTCATAATCATATGGTGGTTTTGGCACGTTAAACCCCACATATTGATCAATAAATCGATCTTTTCTCCGCACTTGCTCTCATACCCTCTTCTGCTTTTGTCGTGGAAAAGGGGGTTGAAGGCGTTAAGCATACACAGAAAGCAGCTGTTGCCTTGGCAAAGACAAAGCATGCTGGTCGACACTTCCACTGACACCCCGGCTCAAGAATTGTTTGTCTAATACATGAGCTAAAAAAAAAAGAATTCACGACATATCCACGACGTCAATGATGACGAGTGGGGCGAAGCTTTCCACAGGGAGATGCACAGTCGCATGTACAGATGGACGGACGGACGAGAGATGGATACGACGACACGGGATGTACGACCCACGGTGGAAGAAGCTTCGCCCCTAAAAAGTCCGGCGAGTTATTCATGGATCTGGTTAAATATCCCCGCCTAGGTGTCGGCCACGAGCCCTTGAGCTCTGGCGGATGCCTCAGCCCGCTGGAAGGCCCACAGTTGGTCCTCGAGGGCATGGCAATGCACTCTCCCAGCGCGTTCGGTTCGAGGTTGCGTCCCCCGCCTGGAGCTCCACCTCTCTTACCGTGACTCCCATAGCTTATGTTCCAGGGTTGCCCTGGCCTCGAAATTTGCAGCGTCACGAATAAAGCTCTGGGTGTTCGGAAATGTTCTGGTCTGTAGCTGTCGTCACGTGACCGCCTGCTTTTCATTCAGTATATAGTGTGGTGACGGAAACCAGCACCTGGCCTGTCTGTAGTGCTGGGTAATATCCTTAAAAATAGGTGAGGTGGTCCTCCCTCTCCTTTTCTTCACCCGACGTCGCGGTCGAGCCGGCGGTGGTGACGGTGGTGGCTCGCGCAGCATACCAAAAAAATGGCTTGGCAACAAAAAAAGTTTTACCGCACGAGCGCAAGCGAGGACTCTTAACTGAAGAATTATTGAGAAGCGTTGAACAAAATGTTCACTCACGTATCTACACACACAAAAAAAATAAAAATAAAAAAGAAGAAAAAGAAAATTCATGCATCACTTTTCGGTTGATCGCGTCGCGGCATAAAAAAAATCTCGTATCTTAAAGGGTACATTCTTTTTCTTGTTTTGCTTTAGTGTGCGTAGTCACATGAATGCCAATTCACGCAGTTTAGCGTTAATTTGTATGCTAACTTGTTTTATGGTGCCACCCCTGCCATTACTCGAAAGGAGACAGCAGTATAAATAAATAAATAAAATAAATAAATAAATAAATAAATAAATAAATAAATAATAAATAAATAAGTAAATGTGTTCAGCGCTTCTGAATAAAACTTCAGTATGTGGGTCAGCGCTTGCGTTCGCGTGGTGAACGTCTTTACGTTTCACTGCCGCGCCGTTCTCTCGGTAACGTAGCCCGGGAGGAGACAGAGTGAAGGACCTTTAGGGAACAGCGCGACCAGCGCGACCCTACCGGCGTGGCGCCGAGTGCGCCGCGATCGCTGCCCCGAAGGCAAAGTGCAGACTGGCGCGAAGCGTCCAGCGGGTCGGCGCGTTCGCCGAAGACCGCGTGCCTGCCTAACACGTGACTTGCCTGCGATGCGCCTCCGCGGGTAGCCGTCGCTGCCTTGGCTCGCATGGCCCTGCTCCGCACCTGTTGCTGCTGGCTGTCGGTGCGCAAGGGGAGCTTCGCGTGCGGCATCTACACGCTCGTGAGTGCAATGCTGACATTGGTTCCACTTGATCGAACTACTGTTACGGGCTTATCCCCCCCCGTATTCAGAAACGCTCATCGACTCGACTTTCACCCTTCACTTGACAGAGTTGAGCACTGCGCCGCTGCTCGGCTGCAAATGACGCTGCGCTATACTCAAGAATCGCAACAGATTATCGCTGATATGCAGTGACTTGCCCTGCCTAGAGACGGCGCTCCCATCGGCTTTCTCAAGTGAAGGTGAAGCGTTGAGTGAAGGGACGTTCTAGAATAGGGGGGATATATTTACAATGCATCTAATGTTAGGTACATGTATTGTTGGTATTCTAACGTCATTCGCTTTGTTTCGTTTCATCCCATTGTTGAATTGACTGTCACGTGTTAGCATTCTTCCCCCCACCGCGGTTGTCGCCACAGTGGTCTAGTGGCGGAGGCACTCGGCCGCTAACCCGCAGGTCGCGGGATCGAATCCCGCTGCCGTGGCGGCCGCATTTTCGATGGAAGCGAGAATGCGTGAGGCCCGTGTGCTTAAATTTAGGTGCACTTTAAACAATCCCGGGAAATCGAAATTTCTGGAGGGAGTCACTATACGGCGCCTTTCGTGATGTGGTGGCGATATGGTTGTTTTGGGACGTTAAGCCTCAACGATTATTCAATTATGTGGTTGCCTAGTGGCTAAGCTTACTACAGCTTGCACCGCAGGTAACGCATTTACCCTATTCTGACCCCTTGTTACTATACAACAGATATGACAACTTAACTCTAATAGCAGGCCGCAGTCACCAAATTTAGCCTCCCGACGGGCCGGGCGGGTTAAGAAAGTTAGAGAGGCGGGAACGGGCAGTTTGAGCAAAACTTGAGCTAACGTTTGCATTTGAAAGGAGGCCTTTCCCCGTAACTTGTTTATTGGTGCATGGTTCCTGAAGAGAATTTTGGGGGCAGGTTTCGAGAAACTTATCGACAGTGATTTCCATAAGGAGTACAGTACGCATGCCGGTTCTGCAATATTAGGTTTTACAGCGAAAGATGTTACGGGATCACAACAAGAGAGTTGTCACCTGCCTCCGCCGGTGTTCGTAACGCGCAATAAGAAGAAATATCCAGGATTTAATGGGGTTCGAATCCATGCCCTCTCCATGGCAGCCCATGCCATGGTGCTCGATACTCCTTAGCAAAAAACATTCTATATACAAGCGTTATGCCGGGAAGGAACGGCGCTAACATATATAGCGTGGTACGTAGAAGAATAAAATAAAATAACAACCAGGTGTCACAGAATGCGAATGTTGTAACCAGGCGTCAGATAATCACGAATTGCGTAACGAGTCGGCCGTTGAACGCCTCCAACCTATTAAAAAAACAGCTGTAATTGTTCTGTTCGTCATCTGGAATCACCGCATCGATTCATGACGTTGTGGGTACCTTGCAAGCGTACTACCTGTACTAGTGATCCCAAAAGAGTTTTTAACAAGCTCTATTATGTCACTATAAATGCCATTCTTCCAGCTTTCGCTTTGACTGTGATGCTCTAACATATGGTGACCACGTGACGTGCCTAAGAAATTGATAATTCTTCCGACTCTTCACGCGCGTGTTCATTAAACACACTTATTAAAAAAACAATATGGGTAAAAGACATGTGCGGGCAGGAACGCTGTAGCCAGAGGTGCACAGGCTGCATGTTTGAGACCCTTGCTCAGCACACTAGCTGTTTCTCACTTTTTGACGAAAAACACAGCTTCATCCTAGTAGACGATAGACTCAGTGCTCCTGTCGTCCAGAGGACAAGTATTGTGAATTTGTGAATAACACACACAATTTTTAGCGTCATTGGGAAGGCAACATGCCGACATTTCGTCCGAGTAATGAATCGCGCGACATTGCCCTCAGGTCTTAGGAGCTTATGTGGGTCGCATGTATTCGCTCTTTGCAGGCATGTTTGTGTGAGCCAGTTACTAAGACACTCGATTTCGGAGCATGACGGCATGATTTCAAGAGGACATGAAGACATGAGGTACAAAATAATAATAAAGAAAAATATAGGGAAGGAACATGCATCGCTCGAGCTATGGTGTCTATTCATCTTGTACCCTTCTCGCTTTCTGAGATTTTACAACATAATAATATCTGGGGTTTTCTGACGTGCACACACACACACACACACACACACACACACACACACACACACACACACACACACACACACACACACACACACACACACACACACACACACACACACACACACACACACACACACGCACAAACGCACGCACACACGCACACACACACACACACACACACACACACACACACACACACACACAAACGCTCGCGCGCACGATACAAGACGAGCTGGGCGTTTGAGCATCGCAAGTGTACCCTAATCTGGTATCATCTAAGTGCAATGCTTATTGAAGTACTTTATCTGCTGAATTTGAAAGATGTCAAGATAACGACAGCCAGAGTGTGAGGTGGTGTCTTTTTTAATAGTGAAGGAAATTTTGATGACTAATTTCGATTCGCGAAAAATTCATTTAATATGAAAGAGACCCATCCTTTCTCTCACTTTTTTTATACGCAAAAAATGAAATCTTAGAGACTATAGGTGGAAAATACCGCTAACACAATTGTCTGATCTTAAAACACAGAATGAATCCAAAATCAGGAAATATAATACCAATGCCACATGGCGCGCTGCTGATCAGGATTAAGCCTGATTAGGGATGGGAATTGGCTACAGTGATTGGCTCCTTTCATGTGCTTGCGGAAGAGAGCCAACGCGGAACTTGCAGAACTTAACGAAATTTCTGCACCAGAAGCTACGATATATGGAACGAATCCGTGAACCAAGACGATATACGGTAACCAACACTTTCGTTTCAATTCACCATACACTATAAATCATCGTCTATTTTGTTTTGAAAAACGTCAAGGGCATATTTTTCTGCAAGCCTAAACACACTTTAGTATTGTTACATCAAGTAATAGCGCATTTTGATAACAATATACTCTACCGTTCTCGCGTGCATCTAAAAAATGCATTACCACGTCATCTCTCCAAATTCTCACTATTGATATTATCTGGGGTTTAACGTCTCAAAACCACCATATGCATATGAGAGACGCCGTAATGGAGGACTCCGGAAATTTCGACCACGTGGAGTTCTTTAACGTGCACCCAAATCTGAGCACACGGGCCTACAGCATTTCCGCCTCCATCGGAAATGCAGCCGCCGCAGCCGGGATTCAATCCCGCGACCTGCGGGTCAGAAGCCGACCAGAACCGCGGTCAGAACCACCGCGGCTGGGCAAAGTTATCACTGTATACACATATATACAGGGAGTTTTAAGAAATGTGCCCACTATTCTTTAAAAATCGCAGAAAGGAGGTATACCTGCGTGGTACTTGCGGCGTTGCCTTTCTTGGGCAGAAGGCATCTTCATGCGTACAAACATTAATTACGGGAGTAATTATAGAAATTAACACAATTAACTTTTTATTGGTGATAGGCGGTCGAGTCAAATGGGCAAATTCAAGCCCTTCCTACGAATAGCCCACAGCCACTTCGAAATGTTGAAAAAGCGGCCACTGGTAAACACCGCGGAGCGATGCAATGAGCCTACTTTAGCTGCAGTCGAATCCCGGCTGCGGCGGCTGCATTTCCGATGGAGGCGGAAAATGTTGTAGGCCCGTGTGCTCAGGTTTGGGTGCACGTTAAAGAACCCCAGGTGGTCGAAATTTCCGGAGCCCTCCACTACGGCGTCCCTCATAATCATAAGGTGGTTTTGGGACGTTAAACCCCACATATCAATCAATTACTTTAGCTGTAGAAATCGAAACCGATGCACCAAACAGCGCACATTCACTTCACAACGCCCTCAGTGACGACAGTTTAATTCCCTTGCCGTTATCAACCGTCAATTTAGACACATCGCTTCGAGGCCCCTTATCGACGCTCACTAATTCTTCTCCCCCGATGCGAGGGAAACAGTGTCGTCATTCAACCGATCGGCAGCGTTGTCAGACCATTCCGAAGAAGCGTTGCAGAATGGTGCTTGGTTGTCAAAACTGTATGACGTGCTGCACAGTGTCACGTCCTTTTTTTTTTTCGGGGGGGGGGGGGATTTCACGGTGTAGCGCAGAATGTGCGAGACGTGAAGGTGGCCGACGTGGCCGTGTCGATCTCGCCACTTTTATTCGAACACAGCCGAAGTGGAGCGACTGCGGCTGCTTGCTTGCTTGATGGGGATGATGATGAGCCTTTGGCTTTGCTAGCACTCGCCCACAAAAGGGGGATCGGCCAAGAACTGGGCGGTAGGATCATCAAGTGTGCTAAGTCAGGCATTCAGGTAGTCTCGTAGCCGTAAATAATAATAACAATAGACTAACAAGGTAATCTTTTTGTTGCCGTTATGTACGCACACACGGCAGAGTAAACTTCCCTGTGGCTATAACCTTGCTTGTGCTTATGTCTGCGGCTGGCGATGTTGTTGTTGTTGTTCTCCTATTGTTAGTTGCGCATACCCACTGTGGGGGATTGGCCAAGAATCGAGTGGCTTTCAAATTTACTGTTCAGATTTAGAATGATGGAGGTATAACAGAAATATTACCGATAGCCTATAGGCAAGTGTGGTGCTTAATGTAATGCATACAAATATTTACATAAACAAATTTATTCTTAGAATAAAGCAATAATCTGATTTTATACGTATATAATTATGTGAACATGTTAAGATAATGAAACTGGTTAATTAGTCAACCTATTAGTTTCATCAATATAGTCCCGGACGGCCGCGCATACTGTGCCATTACAGAAACCAGAAATGGAAGCTCCAAAAGACAAAATGACAGGCAGAGATAAGTCCATACCAATACCACGTAAAGGCATTTCTAATAGAGTTTTTCGTAATGTGTTAAACCGCCTGCAGGTCAAAAAGAAATGGTCTATTGTTTCCAGTTCATCACAGAATGCACACAGTGGCGAAGGTGCCTGA